CAGTCATACCTGTCAGAGGGATGACAGAGAGCGTGTACTCGGGGAGATCCGGAGCCGTGCTTGCAAATGAAACTCCTCCCTGGAGCCTTTTGCCAAGCTCTGTCTCCGAGAACAGGATGAGCTCTGGCATGTCTCTGCCGTGCTTGATTCATGGGCCATTTCCACCTCTCTGGGGAAGGCTGCATGTGAACAGCATTTGGAGCCTGCCTCTGGTGATGGCATGATTTATATTCCCCAGAGTGGATGGGGGCTGGGCTTCTCGCAAGGTCCCAAGAGCAGATGCTGGCAGGGCGGTGGGCACCACAGAGAAGCTGCTGGACTGTCCAGCCCCTCTCCAGGACTTGTGCCGCCATCCTGCACTTAGGCTATTTCATGCTGACTTCAACATTTGTCCTCACTGTTCTCCGATGCTGGGATGAGCTGAACCTCAGCCTTCAGCCCAACCCCACACAGGGCTGGCGTGGGGTCCAGCCAGGATTCTGCCTGGTGGGTAAGTGCCAAGTCAGGGGCCTGGAGCAAGAACAGAGGCCTCTGCCTCCCTCCGGGGCCCAGGGGTAGGAAGAACCGAGCAGCCATGTCTGAGCCAGAATCCTTAGGCCTTGAGAGCCACAGGGAAGGGGAGACAGTGTGGTGGTCAAGACAGGTAGACAGGCCAGGGGTCCAGCGCTGTGTCAGCAGGCTGGAATAGAGTAGAATGGGGTGAGAAGAGAGGCACGTGGTACAGCCCCAGCTTGCCGTTGCCGGGCAACCGAGTAGGTCAGGAGTGCCTCCACCTGCCCTCCTCCCATCCTGTCTGGTCTCACCTTTGCTGAACGGAGACTGCTACACAAAGCCAGCGCTCCTCTGCTGGCCTTTTGTTTCAGGTCGTGGCCATCAGAGGAGTGGCCAGAGTCAGGCCATGAGTCCAGGGGCCCTCTCTGCAAACCACTGGCTGCTTATTCATGCACATGCTTGCGTTCCGCCCGTCTCTCTCTCTCTCTGTCTCTGTCTTGTTCACTATCTCTCCATCTCCCTCTTACTGTTCCCTTGGTCTCTCTCTGTGCACATACATACACCACTGTTGTAATTGTGTGTGTCTGTGTTGGTGGGATTAGTGTGCCCATCTGGCACCTTCTCTGAGCTTCTCAAGGGCAGAGGCTTGTCCTCATTTGGAGTAACTCCAGACTGACTAAGGGCCTGGCACACACTGGCCACTCAATGAATCTCCCTGAGGGTTGGTCAGCCTGATGGATTAGTTTATGGTTCACAGGTCTCAACTAATGGGCTAGCTGGCCCCACCACTGGACCACTGTTGGTGACCATAGAAAGCAAAAACTGGGGAGCAATCAGAAAGGTGGGGTTTAGCCAGGCTAGTCTGTTTGTAGAGGAGATAGGGGATGGCAGCTTGGGGCAGAAAAGGGAGCCGCTATCCAGATTTCAGAGACCAAGAGCTTGTGGAACGCTTGCCTCTCCTGGCCCGTTGAGACCAGGCATGTTAATGTGTTGGCACAGCAGTAACCCCCAAGCATGGGCTTCCAGTCGGCTTCCCTGAGCATGACCCTGGGCTCTCAGGGCTGCTCCTGAGCAGATACTGGTAATAGCCACCAGCCGTTCTCCCCCTCCCCGTGTAATCAGCATTCTACACTCTGGGCCTGCGGACTGTCTTCCAGAAAGCAGCCCTGAGCCTGTCATCCTTTCTTTATTCCGAGGCCTGGACGGACAGTTCTCAATTGCCTTCCAAGTTCAAGGCCCTGCACCGTGATCTCCTACTTTTCTCCCACCCGCGCCCTCTGTTTCAGTTCAAACGGGTTATTCTCTTACCCTGAATAGCCTCCACGCTATCTTGCCTCCATTCCTTTGCTCATCCATTCCATCTGCCTGGAAGCACTCTCCCCAAATCTCTACTGGTCAACATTGTGGCCTTCAAAATGCCTCTCAGATGCAGCTAATTCCAAGAAAGGTCTCTCATCTTGGTTAAAGGCTGATGTCCTCTTTATCCATCTCAGCCAGTAGTTACTAGCCATCCTGGATTGTGCGCACCTCGTACGCAGGTGTAAAGTTCAGCTTCCGAGGTTCCCGCACACAGGCCCTGCTCAGTGAGCACGGTTGAGTCCAGGTGAATGGAGTCAGACCAGGCGATGTGCCATCTCTAGGAAGTCTCTCAGAAGGTCTCTCAGAAGGCTGAGGGGTTGTGACTGTGATCCGAGGACCAGCAGAGGCAAGGTCCTCTGGGACCCTTTTGGGACCCCTGCCGAGTACAGATGAGGCTTGTTTTCTAAGTGGGAGACTCCCGTGTCTGTGACATCACCTATTTTTCCCTTCAGTGTTAATACTCTGAAGGGTCAGAAAATAGGAAACAACTGCATTAAGGATGAGATTCTCAGGGCTCTGTCTGCCGCTGACACAGGAGTGGAACTGCGAGATAACGGAGGTGATATGATTCCAGCCAATTCTTCTCTCCTTTGCAAAGCGCTGAATGACAAGCAGATTTCTCACCTCCAAGCAGGCAATTGCATTCGGATGATAAATGTGTCCCTGGGTACAGGCGCTTGTTGACTGATATTTACCGGGGTCTCTGCGAAGGGCCCCCAGCTCCCGAGGGAGCACTTCAAGTCTTCAGCTGCTCGCCTGTTCAGCTGACGCCCATGAGGCAGCGAGAAGAATAAAACCCCGTTCCCTGCTCCCCGGCAGGACAGAAGCCGTGGTGATGTGCTGAGGTGCTCACAGTTTCCTCTTGCTGTGTGGATGCGCCCAGTCCCTCCCTTAGTCAAACCCCAGCAGAGAAAGATTTGAAATACGTGAGGAGCTTAGAGCCTTACAGAGGGGAGTCAGTGCCAAAGACCCATTGCTGGGCTCAGTCCTGGCTCTTCCACTTAGTGCTCCGTGGCCGAGCTCCTCGGCTCCTCTAAACCTGCCTCCCCATAAATCAGATGGAGATGATAAGAGCTACCTCACAGGGCTGTCATACAGAGAAAAATAAATCTGTGTAAAAATACTTTGCATAGCATAAATGCTCTCCAGCAAAAGTTATTTATTCAGCAATTCCTTGTTGCATGCCTACTGCATGCTCGGCCTGCACTCAGTTTGAAGGGCCATCTTCAGATTATGCAGGCTAGCTAGGAAGAAAACCAGGCTGATGGCCTTTACCAGCCATCAATGTGCTTCTGGGCCTGACGATGAACAGCTGACCCAGAAATCGTACTTCTGTGCTGTCCCTGAAGACTCCTCCACTCAGGACACCCTCTAGGGTTGCATTTCTTGGGAACATTTTCCAGTGACAGGGCCTTTGCATGACCTTTTGCAAGGAGCATCGCTGAGTTGGGACTCTGGTGCCTAATTACCAGGTTAGCTAGTCTGGGTTCTCCAGAGAAATAGAACCAAAAGGACAAACACACACGTGCGCACACACACACACACACACACACTCTCTTATTATAAGGCATTGGCTTGCATGGTTACGGAGGCTGTGGAGTCCAAAGATCTGTAGTCGGCAGGCCGGAGGCCTAGGAGAGCTGATGGTGCATATGCCAGGCTGAGTCCAAGTCAGAAGGCAGGAGACTGATGTCCTAGCTTGAAGACAGTCAGGTAGAGATGGAATTCTCTCTTACTGCAGATTTTTGTTCTATTCAGGCGCCCAGTGGATTGGACGGGGCCCACCCACATCCAGGAGGGCGGTTTGCTTTCCTCCGTGTGTAGGTTCAAATGTTAACCTCACCCAGAAACACCCTCACAGACGCACCCAAAACAATGTTTCACCAAATGTCTGAGCACCCGGGGCCCAGTCAAACTGACACATCAAGTTTACCGTCACCCCACCCCACTTCCACAGGGAGCACCCAGGTTTATTGGGCGCTTTGCCCGCTGCCTCACTGCTCCGCGACAACCCCGTGAGGGGCTCATGACCCTTCTCTGTTGCGGAATCCTGATGTCACAGGCTCAACAGCCTGCCATTTGGAGGAGGTTATGTCTACCGTAGCCCCAGATCTCCATGGACTGGGGTCCTCTTCCAGATCCTACTGTCCAACGTGAGAGGCATGCGCATGGCGAGTCACCTCCTGGCACTGTCCACTCTTCCCACTGGCACCCAGTCGGCAGGAATACCAAGGAAGTTGTCCTATGGGCTGAGAGGTATCTGTGGACTAGATGTCGCTCATTTCCGTAAAGTCAGGGTAATCATCACGCCGAAGGCAGGCAGGGCCTTGGCGTGGAAATCTGCATTTGCCAGCCTCAGCGGGCTGTGCGGGGTGGTGAGGACAGGGACCCCTCAGACATGTCTGCTCAGTCTTGTCTGTCTTGATCTCACAGGGCCGCAGTGCACGGCTTTTACATTTAATAAGTGTTGTTTTAATCATGGTGATGAATCAAGGCACTCCTGAGTATTTCTATTTATTTAAAAACCATTGTGAGATGTTCTATTACAGTCCGTCATAGGGGAAATAAGAATTTATTAATTCAAAAATTGTAACATCCTCATGCTGAGCTTTGAAAATGGGCCCCAATCAGCAACGTTTCTCAAGCCTACGCTTCAAGCAGTGCCCACTCTGCCTGGCATGGCAGCCATTGTGTGTGTGCGTCTCCTTCCCTGGAAATTGCCTTTTCAGGCTGTGAGTCCCCGCAGGCCCAGCATAGTGCCTGGCACATGTTAGGTGCTTTGTTCCTGCTTTTGGAATGGAATAGACTGGGCCCTGCTCTGAGAAGAGCACACAGTCAGCCCACCACAGACACAGCAGACAGCGGCTCCCTTAGCACACAGCTCGACAGCTGATGTGTGTCAGCATATGCCCAACACAGGGAGTCTGATACCCATTCAGGCGCAGCACCTCCTGGGGCGGCTCACAGCCCAGGGGGTGGCAGCCAGGAGCAGCCAGCAGCATGAGAGGAGGGCCATGGGGACGTCGGGGGGGCCCTGGCTGGCGCTGGCTCAGGGCTGCCCCAGGCCCAGGTTTGTTGGGCGTTGGGATGGTGCGGGACTGCAGGGCAGACCTCCTCTCTGAATGGTGACTCTGCCGCTCTTCCTGCAGGGCCTGCGCCAGCAGCGAGACTGAGAGTGAAGCCGGAGACATCATGGACCAGCAGTTGGAGGAGATGAACAACAAGCTCAACTCGGTCACCGACCCTACTGGCTTTCTGCGGATGGTCCGCCGCAATAACCTCTTCAACAGGTGCGGTGGGCTCCATCTCCCGGGCACAGCTGCGGGGCAGGGTGCCCTGAGCACAGATAAGACGTTTTGGCTGATGCCCCTTTCAGCTGCTTGGGCTCCTGGCCCATGTTGTGCATTTGCACAAGCAAGCGTGACACTGCCCATGCTCACCAGGGCCTCTATGTCACAGCGCACCTCTGAGTCAAGTGAGAAAACAGCGACAGGCTTGATGTGACAATCTGCAGTTGGCTGGGATGGGAGGCCCAGGGCATGGCCAGCCCCTTCACCACATAGCCTTGGAGTCGACTTCCCCAACACCAGGCAGAAACCAGACAGGGTAGCTTCACGTACTGTGTGCCAGCTTCTGCTGGTAGCTCCTGGGCCAGGCACCTGAGATTAGGGGAGGCTGGGGAGAGAGGGGATGCCAGCATTGCTGGGTGGAGAACTCACCCAGATCCGAGCCCATGCATCAGCCCTGAGACCCCATCTCCCTACTACTGGGCCAAATAGGCCTTAGGGGCTTTAAGGTGAACCGGGGTGGAACTCACCAACCAGCATGCCTCCGCACCTTTTTCTCAATGGCAGGAGATGGCAAGCTGCTCCCGGGTAAATGGGAGGTGGGTGGGACTGAGGGGCACTTGTCCCACCATCATTAGGTTTCCTGGCAACAACCTGGGAGTTGCATCTGGACAGACCTTTCCAGAAAGACATCCTTGGCTTTCTCAGGTCTCTGCGTGTTGCTGAATTGAAAGGGCAGCAGGGTGAGCCAGGAGTGCAGGAGGGAGGCGGCTGGGCTCTGTGAGCAGGCTGCGTGGGCATGGCGTGCCCGTCTCTTCCTCCTCCAGGCCCCGTTTCCTCTCATTATTATGCTGTTAGGGTGACAAGCGTGTGTTTGCTTTCCCAGGGGTGAGCCATTCAGAACAGGAGCTGAGGGCTGGGAATGTAGGAACTGGCAGCCTGGTTGAAAGGAGGCCAGAACCGGAAGCTGGTGCACCCTGATTCCCTCCTCCTCCCCTGCGTGTCTCTCAAGGCTTTAGTTTCATGCGGGGACACAGTCAGGTGCGAGATGGCTCGGATCTCGCCTGGGCTCAAGTCCTCTGCCAGCATCCCAGCCTGTGAAGTGGGTGATGCTGGATTCTGCCGTGGTGCTAACGTGAAGTGTGCAAGGAGCTTGGGACTCGGGTCCGGCTTTGCCGCTTGCCAGCTGTGGGTGTCACCACTGCCACCCTGTTTCGTTATTGCTGCAATGGGGACGAGCTTCCTGTGTGCAGGGTTCCCTTAACATGTGAACTGAAGGAGCTAACATTTTATGACCCACTGACAGGCTCCCTGATGCATAGGAGGCGACAGACACATGGTGGCCTTCTGTTGTTCTGAGTAAAGTGGGAAGTTCAGCGCAGAACTTGAAATCTTAAAGTGACGTGGGTGGAGAAACTTTGGAAGGGGTGAGGTTTGAATGTACTTGTGCAGCAGGTGTTGCCACCCAGGGGCTGTGGCCTCACACACCCTTCCTCTGCCCATCCCACCTCTTGTCCTTCACATGAGAGGGTTCCAAAGGAAGGCCCTCGGGTGCCCACGGCCAGCCTGGTCACAGGCCCGCCAGCCGTCAGGAGCCCTTCCGCTGGGCTTCAGGCATCGTGATGTTCACGCAAAGGGGCCAATCCAGCTTATCCCTGGTGGGAGTGGGTGTGAATCTTGAATCATGGAGTTGCTCATTTGAGGAAAACAGTTTTTGCCTTTCTGAGCAGTAGTGAGACAGGTCCTGTGAGCACAATACTCTGGATTAGTCTGTTGGTTCATTGAAACAATGCGGTCTCAGTAGGCTGAGGACTGGGCCAGCCCTGGGGCTTGGTGGGGGCCCCGGCCTTGCTGCCCAGCTGCCCCGCAGGCAGCTCCCTCGGCAGAGTCTGCAAATCCATCCAGTCCACACCTTCCAGGAGCTCCCGAGGGCATACTGGGTGGGGAACAGCCTGCGTCCTCTCGTCTTGGGTGCAGCGAGCCCATGAGGCCCAGGAGAGTCTGCCGTGCCAGGTCCTCTCTGCCACTTCCCATGAGCCCAGGACGAGGGGGCTCTAGCCTCCATCCACGGGGGGCAGAGCTACAGGAGGGATCACGGAGGCAAAGAAGTCCTTGTCAGCAAGAAAACTGTCACTCCAGCTGAGGGCACACATGCCCCACACAGGAGCAGGTGCCTAAGCTGGATTTCAGGTCCCCCCTCCCAGCTGCCCTGCTAGCCTGGGCCTTCCCACATCCCCTGCACCTCGAGGGCTGCCCACCCTGCCCTGGGGACCCAGGCTTCCCTCCCTGCCCCTTCCATGTCTGGCAATCCCAGCTAGAAGGTGAGCTGGTTTGTCATTGAACAGGAACAGCTAAGAAGTGGCTTTTCTGCAGACTTCTGATACTGACTAGGGCTTGCAAAGCGCTTGTTCCCTGGAGCACACAGAGGTGAGGCAGAAACAGCCATGTGCAGAGGCCTCGTGCCCCCTGGAGCAGCCCCAGCCCCGCTCCCCTGGGCTTCCCCCCAGTGGGTCAAGGGTTCCCTGGCCCTTCTGCTCTGCGGTGTTTGTTGGACGGCTGCCGCTGAGGCGCATCAGGTGACTTGACTTCAGCGTTTCCTCCCTTGCCATTCCAGAACTTGGTCTTTGTTCTGCCTTAACGTTTTCTACAACCACTATCTTTGTTCTTGACTGTGCAACTTGGTTGAAAACACATCTGCATGTTGAGCCCAGAGCAGGTGCCACTAGTGAGGAAAACAAGCCCTCTTCTCGTGTTTAGCAGCCTGACCCTGGCGCGGGCCCGGTGGGGCAGGGCAGCAGCCGTCACAGAGACCTCTGCCCCTCGTCCTGTGGAATGCTCCGCAGGTTATGCTGCGGGGTGCATGAGCGTGTGTAAGGGTGTGAGTGCGAATCGTGTGTATGTGCACACGTGCTATGTGAGGAAGGGGTGTGTGTGTCGGGGGGTGGGAGTCTGAACCTGGGCAGTTAGCAGCCCACATTTGCTGCAGAAAAGAGGAGGAAGAATGGAACAGCTTTCCAACTGCATACTGGATTCTAGGCCCCAGGGTGGAGCCTGGCATGGAAGGCGCGCCGTCCGGGATCAGTTAGGACCCGTAGCCCGGAGAAGTGTTCTGACTTGTGTCGCCGCTGCGGGTGTAATGTGTGTCCTAGCTCTTTCCTGTCCCACATTTATGGCTGTGTCCTGATGTGGAGCAGGGCTTTCCTATTGCACAGAGATTAACGGCTAGCCAGAACAGAGGACAAAGAAATGTCAGGTGTCCCCATTCTAAAGAGAGGTGCTGCAATGGGGCCAGAGGCCTCCCCTTGGTTCTCTGCAACCTCCAGCCAGCACCCCAGTCACACACATCCCCACCTCTAAAAGAGGGCAGGGCACGGGAATTGGCAAGTGAAACTCTTTGGCCTGGTCGGGGGTCTTCTGAGGGGAGCACTCTCAAAGATCGGGGGTCCCTCAAGAAGATGGGAGAGGCATCACTATCCCACAGGACCAGCCTCCCGTGCCTATAGGGCAGAGACAGGAGAGCCTAAAGAGAGGGCTGCATGAGAGCGGGGTCCACCACAGTGGGTCTGCAGGCCCGTGCCCAGTGGGGCCCACGGGCTTAGCTACTTGCTGCTTCCCCACCCAGGGGGCCGCCTGGGGCAGGTTTGGGAGGCTCCAGGAAAGCCAGGGCACTGCCTGTACTTGGGGGTTAGGGGGCAGCTCCTGCAGGGCCCTCAGAGTGCCTGTTGCGCATCCCTCTCGGGAACCCCGTGGAGGGGCATCAGCAGCGCTTGACCTCCCTCCTCCCTGCCTCTGCCCTCCACACCAGAGGGTCAGGCCTTGGCAGTGGGAGGCAGGAGTGTCCCGGAGCCCACCCCCGCCAAATCCAGGAGCCAACGCCTGGCTTGTAGTGCAGGCGGGGGCGGGTGATGTGTGTGCTGCAGGCCAGGCTGGGGCCACTGCTGCCCCGGATTCCTAAAGGCACAGGGAAGAGCCGGGACTGGAGAGAGAGAAAGCGGTCCCCGCGAGGTCAGCCCGGCCTGTAAGATGCAAACCGTGCCGGCCCGTCTGTCTCTGCATTCGTGGTGTGCACACGTCCACATGGAAATCAAGTGTAGATCCTTGTGAGCATCTGTATCACACCAGCCTGCATGGCTGCCTTGACGTGGCTATACGAGTCCACTGTAGACCCAGAGGCCCTGTGCAGGTGGGTGCTCTGTCTGTCCCTGTGTTCCTCGGCCTGGGTGCCCTGCTGTGGTGCACAGCACGGTGGAGGGGAGAAGTCTTGGGCTCTGGGGCCGGACAGACCTGGATTGGAAACCTGGTCTTTTGTTGTGGGCGACTCCGAGCCTCTCGCTGTCATCTGGAAATGAGGATAAGGATGCCTGCTGCTGGAGTCGTGAGGAGGCCATAGCATCATGATGAGTAGACAAGGCCTGCCACCTAGGGGGGTAGTTTCTCTCCCCACCTGGATCTGAGGTTTCTTTGGCACCAGAGGCTCTTTTTTGGGGGGTTCATATCCACCACTTTTTGAATCAAATCTCTACCCCAAAACCTGATTGGATAGCTTGCAACCTCTCTCTGGCCACCAAACACCAGAAAAACTGAATAAACGCCAAGTGACCCACTTGAATGTTAGAGGCACAGCACTGGCCTTGAGCCCCGGGTCCGCCTTCTGCTTGTGCCCAGGGTCCCGCTAGTCCCGCTCTCTGCGCTGCGGCCGGGGCTCCTTGGCTCTGGGCCAGGGCTCCATCCTGTGCTGTTGGCCCCAACAAGTGGGCAGGCCATTCTCCCCAACTCTGACCTGGGCCAGCCCTCCACCGGGTCCGCCTCCCAGTGGGACTCTGGCCAGAGGCCTTCCCTGCCAGCAGCTGCTCCATACGTGGGCCCAGCCAGCAGGCCTCACGCCGAAGCCCCAGTCCTGGCGTCGGGTCAATTGGTAGGCATAGCCAGCCCGCCCTCCCCAGGGCCCCGGCCTGTCCCCTGTGCTGCCTCCAGGCACCCACCCGGCCAGCAGATCCCTTGAG